TATATAGTCAAATGAAAAAAAGACTTAATTCCTTCTTTACTAAAAGGCAACGTTTATCCCATTCTGATTAATCGTAACAGTCAATTTGATCAGAACATTTTAAAATCTTCCTCTTGTGAACGACCTCTGAACCATGAAGAAACTTCCCACTGCTGTGGATGCTGTGTGTCCTGTAACACTGCGTGATGTTTGTTTACTGTGAGTCTGGAGTTTGGGTCATAGTGAAGCTGCTTGTGTTGTCTATGACATATTCTCAGCTGAAGGGTCAGTGGGAATAAAAGAAACGAAAACAACACAACTTGTTTGTCATGAAAACTGTTCAGAAGTAGATCAGCTGTATTCATGTGTTTTTCTAACATTTCTTTTAACAGTAAAATATTCTTTATGACTGCGCACTATGCGAGTAACAGGTTACAGTGAAGGAAATTACATTTTCTCTTAAAAGTGAAAAAAAAAACAACAACAGAGCAAATGGAGTCACAGCTGAAAACTGTTTTTAAATCCACATTTGTAATAATTAGAAGCAGTAATATCAAAAACACAAATTCAGTAATTGCAAATGACTGTGGTGCAGTGTCTGGAAGCAGCAGGTACACCACCTGTTTAAACTGGGGCACGAAAACCTCATTCAGTCGTGGTCATGTGACCTGGTATTTTGAACCAAGCTTCGGAGCAGTGGGTTTAAACATCTCTGCTTCACCAAGTCAATTCAGTGCCAAAACACTTGTTTCGAGCTTCCCATCCCCAGTAAACAGGTGTGTTTAAGAGTTGTAGCTGCAGAAGAAGCCTCGTATTGGCCACGTTGCTTGCACATTGGGCGACTCAGTTTGATTGGTATGTATCTTTGATTTGTCGCCATCTCAGCATAAGTTCTGTCACAGTCATCTTTTTACTGTAAATGCTAATTCTACGATGCATTACAGGAAGTCTGGGCCTGAGTGGGTGGTTTGAAAGCTTTACAGCAGAACCGCTACTGCTTCTGTGTGCTGCGTTTACAGAAGTGCTGCTTTGCATTTTTTGCCTTGTTTTGCCTTCTCACTAGATCTGCCTGCAACACACTTGTTCAGGCTTTTAGAAAAGCCTTTGAGCCCTATGTGGAATATATGGAAGCATCATATTGTACTGAATTATCAACTTAGAGCAGTGGTATGTATAATCATTTAGAATAGTATTATAAAATTATTAATTTGTTTTGTGTTCGTACATTTGGTTTCTGAATGTTTGATATGTAGATTTGCTTTCGTGTTACAATGAGTTGGTGATTTTTCTGTACATGTCCTCATCTGGCATCCCATTCACCCTCTGGTAAGATACAGCTGTGAATTTGCAGTACATGTACAACTGAATCATTTCTTCTTTACATATGATATTTTTAATAGCTGTCAATAAACTGTTGTTTTATACTGAACCACATCTCTATCTGAAGTATAGTTCACCCGAGATCCTTCTTGATAATTATTATAGTTTCTAACTAAATATTCGGTGAAATTCCCAGGACAGCATAGTCGGATTTTCCCTATGATTGTAAACACTTTGGAGCTCCTGCGACACCATTCTAGTGTGACATGTGTGACATCACTGGTTCTTTGCTCTCTTCCTCATTATTCTCACCTCCTTGTGTTGTCGTATTGTCTATAATGTAATGTTTCTCCATAGTTCATGGTAAAAACCTGTCCAGCTGTTCTGTCCACTCTCCTGCCACCAATTAGATGGCATGTCTTGTTTAAACTACTGATTAACATACATAGACAATTTGAAGGTTTTATTCATGTTTTTCTGTTTGTTTGAAAAGCAAACTGTCGTTACTTTGTTCTTCTCACTGCAGCATTTCAGCTTCCTCTGCCTCACACTGCTGTCTGACTGCATTCAGCTGACAGTGAAATGAAGCAGAAAAGAAGCAGCTGATATTTGGACAGCACACATGATGGAAAGGAGGATTTCAGTTGATGTGCACATGAATGATTTGTGTTTCCTCTGCAGGTGAAGGTAGAAAGTGTGTGTGAGCTGATGTGGATGTGAAGTCAGCAGCATGGGTCAGTGTGTGGGAAGAGAGAAAGCTCAAAGGTGAGATGACCATCTCTAACTGTGCATGACTCTTCTCCATGTCACAGCTC